ACTCCTATCACTTGAAGCCTATTTTAAATGGTGCTACGCTCCTACACCGAAGCCGGGCAGACTCTCGTTTATCCAGGTCATTTGCTCTTAAGTAGAGAACCAGTTTAGGACGCCACCCCTTTCTACATGACTCCTATGTCGATTCGTTACATATACAACGTTATGATAATGACAGTGTTGACTCAGGCACCCCACTCAGTCTGATCTGCGGATGTCGGGACTTAGTTTTGTCACCTAAACGCACTGAAAGTATGGCGTTATATTCACAATGGCTCTGCTCAAGCCGGCGTCATCGTATCCCATTTACACGTGAGCTGGTGACGTTCCTCGTCAAGTAATTCGGACAAACCACCTTATATCCGAATGTTGCGTCCCCAGATTGCAGGCCGCGGGCCCTCAAATAAGCATCGTGTTGTCTTGGTTGCCCTTTTTTATCGGTAAAACCCCTCTATGACATCAGAAGCCATTTGATTTCCTACCGCCTTCTTTAATATGCCTTTCTGAAATTTATTCTGATTTTTTCGCTTTAGGCAGCAATACGAGATTTGGCCTGGCTTATAGTTGAAAATTCGGAGGCTTGGGTGAACGGCGAAAAAACTCTACCAGTCAGGGTAATTACTTCCAACCATTCCTCTGGACTGTCGCTTTTGCACTTTGCTTTGACGGTTACTTACGGTTTCTTCTATTCATGTAGGATGGCGAAGTGCTTCGGTGGATCGACTACGAAGAGGATGTACTGTACGGAGATGCTGTGCTGGACAAGGACGCCTTTGTCGAATGTGAGAAGTGGACTGGCGAAGGTGTGGTGTTGCCTGCCGCGTGTGTGCGAGTCCTTTCTGACAAACTCGAGTTGGCCGCCTGTTTGAGTAAGCGCCCGCGGGCTCAGCTGATAGCTGACCATACCTCGAAAAAGCCAGAAGAACTGCTTCTGAAGGTATTGTTCTTTTGGATATTTTGTCTGATTTTGGTGTCACTTTAAGCCACTTTTTTTTGAGGGAATGATGCTTTCGCCTTTTAACTCCAACAATCTGAAAACATGTTTAAATTTAACAACAGTGCGTATGACAACTGTGGAGTTACCGTCAACGATATG